TCCTCGACCCACTTCTTCTTGGTTTTCTCCAGCCTTTATTTGAGGCCTCGTAGGATCACCTTATTCGCAGCCTCGGCCTGGCCATTTGTTTGTGGGTGCTCAAAATACGCAAAATGTTGGATAATGCCCAACTTGGTGACGAATTCTTGGAAGTTTCTATCTATGAATTGTGTCCTGTTATCAGTGATAATGCCTTGAGGTATGCCGAATCAGGCAAGTATGTTTTGTTTGTAGAAATGGAGTATGTTTTGTGTCGTGATTTTAGCCAGGACCTATGCTTCTATCCATTTTATGAAGTAGTCTACGCCTACTATTAAGTACTTGTTCTGGTTTGATCCCATGACAAATGGTATGAGGATGTCCAGCCCCTACCATGCAAAGGGCCACAGGGATGAAAGGGTTTTGAGCTCGTTGGGAGGTGCCAAGTGAATGTCCCCATGTTGTTGGCATTTGCCACATTTTTTCACGTGTTCCTTTGCATCATGTTACATGGTATGCCAGTAATATCTTTCTTGTAAATCTTTCCTAGTGAGGGATCTTCCTCCGAGGTGGCGTTGATTCCCTCATGAATTTCGCATAATATATGGGCAAATTTAGTCTCTTCGACACACTTGAGAAGGGGAATGGAGAAACCCCACTTTTATAATTTGTTTTCAACCAATACGTAAGAGTATGCTTGGCGCCTGACCATGTTGGCTTCCTTTTGGTCGAATGGTAGTTCCTCCTTTCTGAGGTAGTTGTATATCGGGGTCATCCAGCACTTACTATCACTGATGGAATTCACCTCTAGAGTTGTGGAAGGTTTCTCGATACTTGGTCGGGAAAGTATCTCCTGGATTACGGATTTGTTCCCTGCTTTCCTCTTTTTGCTTGCAAGTTTTGATAGAATGTCTGCTCGAGTGTTGTGTTCATGGGGAACATGTTGCACTTCTACAGATCCAATCTTTTTCACTCTTTCTCAGACTAAGGTCCAGTATTCTAAGAGATTTTTGTTTTTTACCTGATATTCTCCATGCACTTGAGAAGCGACGAGTTGGAAGTCTGTAAAGATTTTTACTTCCTCGGCTCCCAAGTCTTCGGCCAAACGCAAATCTTCGAGGAAAGCTTCATATTCTGCCTGATTGTTGGAGGTTGAGAAAGATATGATGAGGGAGACCTCGATCAAGATTCCCTCTTTTTTCTCCAAAATGATGCCTGCTCCGCTTCCTGTCAAGCTGGAGGCTCCTTCCATGAAGATGGTCCATTTATGTGCCCCGCAGGTGGGAGAGGCTGGCGAGGTCATTTCAGCCACAAAATCGACCAGTACTTGGACTTTAAGGGCCTTTCTGCCTTCGTACCTGATGTTAAATTCAGATAGCTCTAACTACCATCTGAGCATCCTTCTCACCATGTCTAGACGATTGAGCAACTGTTTTACTAGTTGGTCTGTTCGTACGAAGATCGTGTGGGCTAGGAAGTAGTGTCTTAGTCTTCTTGCGGCATTAATCTGGGATAGATATACCTTTTCGATCTGCTGGTACCTGATCTCGGGACTCTGTAGGGTATTGCTCGTAAAGTATATAGGCTTCTTCCCCTCAGGGGTTTTCAAGATGAGAGTCGTGCAGGATTAGAGCATTGGTTTGGTTGAGTGTTGTAAGCAGGGAAGCTATGGCAGGATCAGCATTGGTCGTTATTGGAACTGGTTGGAGGATCACTGGTGGTTCTTCTAGGACTTTCTTAGACTTCCAATTTTCAAAGAAATGAATGTCGTCGTCCACCTTGACCTAGGAAGGAGACACAGTGTAGTAATCTCTTTATAGGGGAGTATCTTCAAGGTGGGTCATATCTCTATTGTCATCTGTCTTATGGACAAGGGACAAGACGGTTTTGCCACCAAGGTGGTTAACATATTGATCGGCCATGGTGTGAATATTTGGAATGTTGCTTTGATCTTTACTTTTCAGGGAAAGAAAGAAGGGGATAATGGTTTCCCACAAACGGTGCCACTAATCTTACTGGTGACCAGAACCTGTAATGGACCGATATATGACGTTTGCGAGGCTGGAATCAAGGAGAATGGGGTGTACCTTAAAGGCACTCTAATTCTCAACTAAGTAAGAATGAAAAGAGATACAAGAGAGAGATTTTAGGGTTTTGAGTGAATATTGAATACCTGACCCTTACAAGTGTGAAGGTTTATATAGTACCCCCGGCGCTTGGCCATTAGTTCCTATTTTTGAGCCTAGATATTAGGTTCCTAAAAAATAGGTAACTTCCAGGAACTAGTCGTTGTAACGAGTAGAGATGCTTGGAAATAGTCGTTACAACGAGCATAGGAGTATTCACAAGAAAGCGTGATCGGGTCATTCCTGGGTGGTTGTCCTCGTGCGACTGGCAGAGCGAGAACTAGCATGTTGATGCGGGCAGAGGTGCGGTTGAGGGAAGCGGTGGTCTCGTTGATCTTAGGGGTCAACTGACCATGCGTCCCCGGGTAAAGGGCAGAGGGAAAAATTCCATTTGTCTGTCCAAACTGATTGGGCCAAAGCTATTGGGCCATTTTGGACGTAGAAGTTTGGGCCAGTTCAAAACAACAAATATGTTACAGGTGCCATAAGAGACAACAAATTACAAACACTTGTTATAGAGGTTACAAAGCTTACTCCATAAAAACATATATCTTCATCTCCACAACTTCTTTCTTAGGATCCTTTGATTCCCAAGGAATCTAAATGCACGAGCACAACAACTCCACCTGGTTGATGGCATTTTAGAAGGCTTCAAAATCAACTTAAACATTATTATCAGCTGAATCTTTAAATTCCCTTTTCACTACTGCCAAACTATCCTCCCAGGCCTTCATCTTCTTGTTCTCCTCTTTTACCTTCTCCTATTTCAAGGCATCATTAGCTTCTGCTACTCTAGAATTTTTCTACTATGTAAAAATGATATAATAATGGTTGGAAAATGGATACCATAATGCCTGACCAACTGTTGTATGGTAAAGGGTGGTTGTATATAAGGTGTTTTCCACCATATTTATGTGATTATGATTATAAGTCAAGTAGCGTACTAATTATCACAATGGTTAATTCTAACAACTGTTGTGATATGTTTTAAAGAAGAACATTTAACAACGGTCGTTATAAATAATTTTTGTGATATATACACTCAATTTATTTTAAATTATGTGGAATGCTTTTTCCACCAATACTCACTAAAAATTTAACCATTTACTCTAATCTAGAACATATAATATGACAAATTGAGTTATACCAGAAGAACAACTTACACATTCAATGGTAGATAAAAATTCTTCAACTCCTTATTCTCATTTTTCTCTTTAATTGTTAGAACTTGTTTTAATTCTCCTAGTTATTTAACCCCCCTTCCTTCACCTCTAGTTTATTTTGAAACATATTATTTACTTTGCAAACTAAATTAGAGGTGGAGGAATGTGAGGTTGAAAAACTAGAAGCGTTAAACCAAGTTCTCACTATTAAAGAGCAAAATATAGATAATGGGCTAAAGAATTATTGTCTAGAATTGAACGTGTAACTTGTTTTCAAATATAACTTTATGTATCATATTATGATTTTCTAATGTAATATGAAAACTTATATATTCGGTAAGGTGTTGTAAAAAAACTCAATCCACATAAGATATAATAAAATCGTCTTAAACAAATATTAAAAACAAAATTTATCAATAGCAAACCTTAAACAACATATAACTTTTATGTGTAACAACAACAACATCAACTCATAAAAGTAGCATGAAGACGAACATTATGAAAACAAGCATAAAACTCATACATTATGAAACAAGCTATTGAAACCTAAACAATAATAGATAGAAATATTTTGAAACATAAACTAGGATTAAGACGAACCTGTAAGGTAGCCATAGTTTTGAAGAATACGAAATCATTGCATAAGTTTGGGGTTTAAATATGAGTGAGACGAGTGACATAGATGTTAGGGTTTTGTTTTGAGAGAGTGTTAGGTTTTTTTTAGAGAGACGATTAAAATATATGTTAGGGTTTTCTTTTAAGAGAGACGGTTATTATGTAATGAGTGAGAGATAATTTTGCTTATATATAAATAAGTATCATCTTTCGCCATGGTTGGAAAGATGAACAATAATGAAATGATTGAACTTTACATGATGTTTGACTAAATGAATTGTGGTTATATACAAGGTCAAGCCCATTTTGTCACGATAATTGGAAAATTGTTGGAGCTGGGATTCGAATCCTTTCACTCTAGGTACATTACACTATGATTGTTAATTATGACCAAAGTTAAATGTATTTTAGTAAATACCAAAAAGGCGTCAAAAATGAGTTATTACCACAGTTAACATGAAGGTTGTTGTAATATTGTGTTATAGAAGATCTATTTTATAGTAGTGGTTAACGCTACCTTGACCACTTAGAAGCCGATCAATGAAGTTCTCATATCTTTGAGGGCCTTCACCTTTTCTGCCAGAGATTCCATCAAAATGGTAACTTGTGAAGCCAGCTCAAAAGGAGCACCATCGGCCTCCATGTCCTTCTAGAAGCCAACTATATTTTCCAATAGTTGGTTGTACTCATAGGAAACAAGGTTGTATTGACCCTTCCAATGCGCTTTCCTCTTTGAAGGGTTTCTAGGAGCCATTATCTTACCATAACCATCTGCTATAAGATACATCATAACAACACATGTTTCATGTGATAGGTCATCTCCACCATTTATTCCAGCTTAGTCGTGTTGGTGAGGTTTCTAACATAAGCATAATATCCCTCAAAGATACAAGGACCTACCTCATGGGAAGTCTGAGGCCCCTAAGATAGGAATATTTAGGAATATTTGAAAGAAAAAGGAGATGCAAGGACATTTCCCCCTAACGAAAATCCCCATGATTTAAATTTTTTAGAAGATGCACTCTTCTTGAGAATAGTTCTTGCCTCGGTACCATTTTGCATTCACCAGGCATAGAAATAGTCCGGTCATTCAGATTCCTACTTTGAATCTCAAATATCACATTTTATTGCCCCCGGATAAAGCTTCACTTTCCCTAGGTTCCATTTTGAACTCGGTGGCCACCTTCATTTGGACAGGAGTGGTAGTTGGAGTAGGGGATTTAGGTGCCTCATCTGCAACCAGATATTTCCTTCTCTTGAAGATATTCTTGAGGGATGTCATGTTCTCTACGAAATGAAATTGAGAATATTCAACATAATATTATCATAATGACACAAATAAATATAAAAATAGTTTATCTTCTCGCCACACAAATTTTTTCTCTCAAGAGAGATGGCCACCTCCATAACCTCTTATGCATTAATAAAGCGTAACTTCTGATGGCTAGGTGGTACTTATGAAGGGTCAGATCACTCTTTATAGTCTAGTCTCTTCAAAAAGGATACCAAGGTTTCCTTCATAAACTCCTCTTCCAGTGTCAAAGATTCGAATGAGTAGGTGTAAGTCCATGATCCCTATTTAAATGGTTCCAAACTAAGAATCAAAAGATCTTATCCTTACATTTCTTTGGCTCCGAGCCTGAGGGGTAGGATAAGGAAGCATCGCCTTCAGGGACTTGGCAGAATATGAAGTGAGCCTTTGGGGCCAAAGAAATAATTATGCTTGAAGTTTTCCAACTCTCAAGTATAACTACAAACCCTTTGAAAAGTTAACAAAGTGAAAGCATCCCATATCCCCTATCCATGATGGAAGAGGTCCGCGTCACGATGAAAATGTTGAAAAATATACTCAATGAAGGATCTTTGTCTCCGTAATCGCACCACTACTGGAACACCTTGACAAAGACCTAGATATCAGGTGTAATTGAAACCATGGAGATGCTCTAGCATCCCCTCCTCAAATTGATGAAAGGCAACATAAACTTCAACCTGGAGAACAAGCATTCATAAAATGGAATTTGACACCCGTCAAAGGAGCTTCATATTCTCTTCAAAGTATTAATGTGGGAGAGAGACCAGTCATAAGACGGTCCCACATTTATGTAGGAACCCTCCAAACAAGAAGTGTTGTAGAAATAGGAGACTAGTCCCAGCAACTTTTCCTCCACCCAATTGTACTAAGTAGCATCAATAGATGGCCCCAGACAATGTCGTTCCTTTTAGACCATGTCTTATAAATTGTCACGAACAAGATAATGTTAGTCATGAATTCATGAATGGTGTCAAAAGTCAATGTGATCCCTAACCTTCTTATCACTCGGACCATGGTCAATCACCTCTCTAAAATGATTAATAAAATAAGTAGTCATTTGTTTGTTCCAGGTGACACCGGCAGGTTCTAGATCTACAGAGGATTATATATGGGAAAGGGACCAACATCTACACCCCCTAAAAACGGGACTACCATATTTTATTCCTTCCTCTCATTCTAAGTCAATGTTTGGCATTCATAGGTTCACTATACTAGTAGCAGAAGAATCATCGTCACTATTGGGTGCATTTATTATTGTAAGTGTTTAGTTATTGGCATGTATTTTTGGTAAAACCAGGTGTGTGAATGTCATGACTGATGTCATAACATTCTGGTTTATTAGGTACTTTATGCAGAAAAATTATGGCATACAGTAGCTACTGTGTATGAGTGTGTATCTGAGCATTTTGCAAAAGATCACATTTATTGCCTTCTACCAAAATCAGTAAACAGGAATTTTGATGTCATAACAAATGTTAAGACATCCTGTACTGATCTAACAGTAGTGCAGTTTGGTTAATTCTGAGATTTTTCAGGAAGTTGGCTCATTCCTTCCAGAACAGAATCTCTCATTGTCTTTGGGTTAACCTAGCTCAACCCTAAACTGGTTGATAAAGTCTTGTGACCAAGTCTTATGGTTAAACCTAATTAACCCTAGCTTTTTGTGGAAACCCTAACTGAAGAAACAACTGCTATATATTCAACAGGATTGCTGTTTGGAAAACATCTCTTTGGACTGAAGATCAATCAGAAACTGTATAGTTTTAACTGCTGTAATCCAAGCAATTATCATTGTGATAAGTGACTTGGAATAGGTTTTGTTTGTAAGGGTTTTTGTACCACTCAAAGCTTTGAAGCAAGAGTGTTTTGTGTCTCTTGACTAAAGCTTTGAAGCAAAGTCAAGTTAGGTTTATGTATCACTCAAAGCTGTGAAGAAAGAGTGTTTGTGTTACTTGATTAAAAAGCTGTGAAGCATAATCAAGTGTATGTTCTGAAGAGTGTCTTCATTAATTCATTAATCAATTGTTTTAAGTATCACTGCTGTGATTGAGGGGGGAGTGAGTAGGAACTCAGGTTTAAGTAGAACTTAGATTGAAGTTGCATTGGGTAGGTCTTAAGTGAAGGAGATAAACTGGTTGGTTTATTCCTGAATTAATATCTCTTATAGTGGATTTCCTCCCTGGCTTGGTAGCCCCCAGAGTAGGTGTTGTTTCACACTGAACTGGGTAAACAATTGACTGTATTCTTTACTGTTTTTATTTACTGTCTTATAGAAAGTCAGATACGGTGTCATAACATTCACTGTGACATTGAGTATCTGCTGCCAGAATTTTCAATTATATTTATATGTATATATCCTATGTTGGCCATAGCTAAAATAATGAAATAAGAACAATAAATTGTAAACAAGGAAGAGAGGAATGGTACCTGAAGGAGTCAAAATTTTAAGTAACAGTTACAAAGAGGTGACTCTGAGGTTGTGATGGACCAAGAAATACAAGACCTGAAGAACAAAAGATGTTGATAAAATGGGTGTCACTGGAGCTATGTGAAGAAAATCAGGGTTTGTATAAGGAAAGAGTGTTTGAAACACTAAGTGACCCTTGTATAAGGGAGCAAGGCGAGATAATCAATGGTCCAAAGTGAAAGAAAAAAAATAATTGTTGGATTTTGCCTCAAGAATACAATGACACTTTAGTAAAATTAAGCACCCTAGGAGGAAGTGTTATGCCCTAGTCTAGAAACCTAGGGTTGCATGCCAAGAAGATCCTGCAAAAATGGCTCAATGATGACACTAGCATTTAATGCACATGTGTCCCTAGGTTATTTTCAATAATTATCAAACATCTTCCACTTCTCCAAGCAGCAATTTGGATACGAGAATCCTGTCCCAAATTTTAGAAAGATTGTCTGCTACTACGCCACAAGAAGCCTTAGGGAAACTGTTATGGCCCAGCTAAAAGGCCCGTTCAGGGAAAGCCTTGCATCTTATCCACACGTTAGACATCTCAACCAACTTTCATATATAAAGTACCTCGTGTGAAAAAAAAAATGTATGATTCAAATTCATTCTCACTTTCATTGACTTGAACATTGGAGTGCTAGATTGTAGGTTAGTCCCCTCTTTGTTGTGTCAGAAATACAAAAGGTGAAGCACACATGACAACATTGAAGAGCATGCAAATAGTTCCAACAAAAACAGAATGTTTGTTAATAGAAAGAATCAACGTTAATGAAACAAATGAGAGAAGTGCAATGAAAATAAGCTTCAAGAGTAAACCAAAGAAGACTTTGAGTCTCTTTTTGGTGTCAAAGTAGATAAAAGAATGTGATATAAATTATCTCAACCATACACCCAACACCATTGATGGTTACCACAAGAAAGTTGTGAGGGTGCATCACGGGTAGCTTGTAGAGAGTCCAAACCATGCAGTTCATTAATGTGGCTAGGTATGGTACTGCTGAGAACTATTCAACTGATCTTTTCTTGCATACTCTAACAAATGTTGGTATGTATAAATTTATTTGCATTATGAATATGTAATTAATAATTCTTAATTAAAATTATCTCTTGACAAAATAAATGAAGACCTATTAATTTGGTTCATGAAAAATAAAATGTTGATTTAGTTGGACTTTGTCTGAGGGTGTTGCAGGGACTTTCTTGAATTGGAAGAACATGACACCTTTTAAAATATAGGGTTAAATATGTTTTTGGTCTCTATTAATTACCCAATTTTGTTTTTGGTCCCTATAAAAAAAATTGGCATGTTTTAGTCCCTACAAAATTATTCTGCACATAGTTTTAGTCTCTGCTATCAAACCAATGTGTATTTTTGAATGATTATTTTGCAGACATGTTTAAAAATTTATAAAAAGTTACACGAAGCATAATGAAGAAGAATCAACAAGTTGATTAATTGAAGTGTGGCTTCCCTGTTCTCCATCCCACCCGTAATATCCATAACCCAACTCTAACTCTCCCCAATCCAATTACCCATTTCTACAATCTTCGAATGAGGAACACTCACCAAAAGAAACAAATCCAGAAAAAGGGTTCCAAGCGGGGTTGTACCCAACCAAGGATCAAACCAAAATTCCAAAAAGTTCCCATGCCAAGCTTGAAAGAAATAGAAGAGTTGAACCAACTAGACGGCGAACTCGGTTCACCGCAACCAACCGAACAAATATCCCTCCACCAAATAGAAACTCTACTCCTCGAATGAAAATACGAAGCACTAAGTATTACTCTTTTGATGTCTCCATACCTGCAAGAAAGAAAGTTAGTCCATAAAGAGTTCTCCTCATTAAAAATGTTCCACTTCCACTTGCTAAGAAGCTCCAAATTGAACTTCCTGCAATGCTTCACACCAAGACCCCCTTCTTCATTTGAAAGACAAACTTTATCCCAACTAATCCAACTAATCTTTTTCTTCCCTTGTTCACCACCCTAAAGAAAAGATCGTTGAAGCAAAATGATCTCTTTGATAATAGATTTCCGAGCCATGTAGAAAGAGAAGCAAAAGATCGATAAGCTTGACAAAATAGAGTTCAAAAGAACCACCCTCCCACCAATAGACAGATTCCTATTATGCCACCCTCCAAGTTTTGTTTTTAACTTTGAAACAATCGACTTCCACACATCACATCTCCTAGGATTAATGCCCACCGGAATACCAAGAAACACAAACGTTGAAGGATCAATCTCGAAATTAAGAAAAAAGGATGCCGCATGGATAAACCCCGGATCATATTTAATTATTCTCATTTAAAAAAATTCTAAAATTTGATAAATAAATATTTTATAGTATTCTAAACACTTATGAAAAAAAGTCAAAAATTTAAAAATTTAAGGTTAATTAAACAGTTTTCAAAATTTTAAAAAATAACAGGGACTAAAACTACATGAATAAAATTTTTGCAGGAACTAAAATATGTCATTTTTACAAGGTCTTTCAACAAGGCCACGACCACAACGAGACCAATTGCACTCAGAAGCCCCCCAAGCAACAATGATGTTTTCCAATCCAGTCATATGGAAAAGTAAGATATATTATGACAAATAAGTTATGACTTGTAATCAGATGACATGGATGATGAATGCTAAATACAATGCTTCTCATACCTTCAAAACAGCTCTAATAAAATGGTCGAAACCACAACACCTAGACCAGTTAGTAAGATAATTTATGTTATACACCTTTGTGCTTGGTCAAAAACAATTTGTGAATAAGGAATCTTGTGATGCAATATCAGTC